CTTAATTTGTTCTACATAGAGCGGGTTGTTTTCACCACTATAGGTATATTACGAAATAACATATAGACTTCTTCCGGTTATATTTAACTGTCTCTGTATCTGAAAGTAAGAAAAGAATTTTACCAGATAATATTTGTTATAAACATAGATAATTATACATTTTTACCTATTATGCTTTTGATTTACCATAATGATATATCTAGTCATATACAGGGTGCCACAATAGTGCGATAAAGTATAGTATAATTGACTGTAGTAGTGATACGAAAAAAGTTACTTGCTCGGATTCACATTTTATTATTAATTAATGTAATTGTTAATTGTTAATTAATGTAATTATTAATAATGGAAACATTATTCATTATTTTCAGACCGAATTAAACGTTCAGAAAATCTTGTTTTTGGCCTGAAGATTTTGCCCTATACAACTATTACTGAAAATAATTATAAACTTTGTCACACTATTGGAACAGCCTGTATGTGCATTGCNATATATATCACAAAATTTCCAGGTTGCAAATTTGAAATTAAAAAAGAATTATAGATTTCAATGTATTATTATGAAATCTACCATAAAAAAAATTAGTGCGATAGTGGAAGATACTCGGGATTGTCAAGACCAATAATTAGTTAATTTGTTTATAAGGCCATAACTTGTAACTATTCAACTTACCGATTCCAGATTTCGTGTGAGTTATTAGACAGTCATAAGGAATGAGAGGATGCGATGCCAAAACGTTCTGGTAATAATAACGCAGTTTATAAATGTTTAATTCAAAAGTCATAAATAAATTTCTTCTGTTTATAACTTTTGATCCAATCAATATATTTTGACGCTCGAGTGCTAGTTTTGTAGGTTTTTTGAAGACGAAAAAAAGTACTTTACTGTTTTCTCGTGAAAATGAACGGAAAAAAGTTAATAAGCGAAAAACGTGAATTTACGTAAAAATTATACAGTTAACCACCCTATAAACAATCTTTCTCCCATTTTTATGACTGTGAAAAGTAATAGGTTACTGTACATAATATTTAGCATCTATAGTGATAAATTCAGCTTGCCGAAACAAAAAATCGCGAAATGATCATATCCCAGTTTATTTTCCTGGCCTATTAAGGTAAGATCTTCAAAGCGCCAAACCTGCGGATAAAACTTGCCTTGTATGTAATGAGACTAATGAGTCGAGCTATACTAGACGCATCTAGCGGATTTATACACTGTATTTAAAAAAGTTGACCGTCGAAGAATATGATGATATGTTGGCAAGACAATGTTGTCATATTTATCAGTGTTTCATGTTGTTGAGTAGGAAGTATGTTAGTTTTATCATTCATTTCGTGGTTTACATATGAAATATAAAAAAACTGTTTTTACAAAAGGCAAGTTTCATATTTAAATCACAGGATAATTTTAGTTAAAAAGGAAACCGAAACACAAACGGGAGATAGGGCAAGAAAATACCGCCCGAGACATATGCCTCACTCTTTCACTTCTTCCGCTAGCTCTGTTTGAAATCATTAATACAAAACTCAGATGCACAGATAAATGAATTATGCAACTCTCCATACTCAAAGGCATACGAAAAGTATACAGGAATAAACCTTTTTAGTAGTGATTTCACATACGCCAAATAATAGGCAACCCCACAGTGCACATTGTCATTAAGAGTTCCTCAATATTTTAACTAGATCAGTTTTCGACCTTATGTACTTTGGACATAAGTGCCAAAAAAATGTATTTTTTGTCATNTAAATGCCACCAAAATCTCTGTCTGGATAAAAAGTGGACTTACGACATTTGCTAAGTAGGTTAACGAATAGCACTTCATGTACCTAAATTAATCGTTTTCGGGATATCGAATTTTGAAAATAACTTTTTACTATTCTCAAATTTATTATAAAAGAAAAAATACAGCAAATTATGTATATTTATTTTGAAAATAACACAAGGTGGATAATACGGCTATGATTTAATTTTATTGTTGTTTTTTTACAGAAAATAAAAAAGCATAATAGTTAAAAGTTGATAAAAATGCATGAATCGAAAAAATGTATTTTATCTGCTTTTATAGTAAATAGACTATTAATTAATTAATACATTGTTTTTAAGGAGGTAAGTGGATTTTACCATAGAAGTGGAAGTTGCTATGGACAACGGGATGCATATTTTAAAACACAGGGCGCTAGAAGCATTAGACTAAATAGTAAGCTGTCATTGGTTGTTTCGGAATTCGGATTAGTGGCGGGAGTTTTAACTGCATTAATGAGTACATAATTCACACGTATTGCGTAACTATCCATAAGAGTTGTATGTAATTAGAATAATAACGCAGTTTATAAATGTATTCAGTTTATAAATGTATTCAAAAGTCATAAATAAAATTCTTCTGTTTATAACTTTTGATCTAATCAATATTTTTTGACGCTCGAGGGCTAGTTTTGTAGGTCTTTTGATGACGAAAGAAAAAGTACTTCACCGTTTTCTGGTGGAAATGAACAGAAAAAGTTATAAGCGAAAAATGTGAATTTACGTAAAAATTATACAATTAACCACCCTGTAAACAATCTCCCCCCCATTTTTTATGACTGTGGAAACTGATGTGTTATTGTACATAATATTTAGCATCTACAGTGATAAATTCAGCTTGCCGAAACAAAAAGTCGCGAAATGGTCATTTTCCACTTTATTTTTCTAGCCTATTAAAGTAAGATCTTCAAAGCGCTAAACCTGCGGATAAAACTTGCCTTGTATGTAATGAGTCGAGCTACTAGACGTATCTAGCGGATTTATATACTGTATCTAGAAAAGTTGACCGTCGAAGAAAATGATGGTATGTTGGCAAGATAATGTTGTCATATTTGTATTTCATGTTGTTGAGTAGGAAGTATGTTAGTTTTATCATATATTTCGTGGTTTACATATGAAATATAAAAAAACTGTTTTTACAAATGGCAAGTTTCGTATTTAAATCGTTTTCTATATAAATAAATGTTTATTAAATGTNATAATGTGGTCATATTTGTATTTCATGTTGTTGAGTAGGAAGTATGTTAGTTTTATCATATATTTCGTGGTTTACATATGAAATATAAAAAAACTGTTTTTACAAATGGCAAGTTTCGTATTTAAATCGTTTTCTATATAAATAAATGTTTATTAAATGTTTTATTAAATAATATGTAACAACACACAAATTCGAAATGTACAAAGTTTGCACAGAATTGTATCATAATACCAGAGTACTTTTACTTAAAAAGAAAACTAAAGCACAAACGGGAGAAAGGGTAGGAAAATACCGCTTGAGACATAGGAATGCTTCACTCTTTCCCTTCTTCCGTTAGCTCTGACCGAAATCATTGATACAAAACTCAGATGCACAGATAAATGAGTTATGCAACTCTCCATACTCAAAAGCATACGAAAAGTATACATGCAATAAACCTTTTTAGTAGTGACGTCACATACGTCAAATAATAGGCAACCCCCAGTGCCATTGTCACGAAGAGTTTCCCAATATTTTAACTAGATCCGTTTTCGACCTTATGTACTTTGATAATAAGTGCCAAAAAAATGTCTCCTTTGTCATGACCTTAAATATTGCGATATTCTGGCAATATTAGAAATACTTAAGAAGTTTCAAACCCCAAGTGACAAACTAATAGAATTATAGAATTTATGTATTTAAATTTATAGAACAATATTGACTTTCATAGTAATTAAAAATTAAAATTATATCAATGTTACTGAGCATGCGCATTAAAGATAATTTCATGTAAGCGAAATAGCCTCGCAACAGGATATCATTCAAGAAAAGTTTGGTTGTGGTTAAGAGGACAACTATAATAAACCATTTGAAGAAAAAAACACTCGATAAACAGACTCACACAGCAGAGCACCAAGAAAAACAATAAAAAATACTTGGTAGAACTAAAAGATGCTAAGACTAAACAAAAAAAGAGAAAAAACACTAACGATGACAGCGATAACATATCAACAAGACCTCACCTGCGTATGAGGCTATTCTTTCCGAGCATGAGCATTAGGATTTTACTTTATTTAGATTTAGGAATATTCTTTTATATCGACTTTTGTAAGTTTTAAGCAAATTAGTGTATCTATTTTACGAAACACGTATTCAAGGTTCTTCAATACTTCTAAATCCTTGTAAAAATAAATTAATTTGAAGTTGTTCATTTCTATAGTATCTATGTAAATAGCAGTGGCGGCTCCTCGGGGTGGGCAGGGTGAAATTTTCAGAAGAATAAACAAAAATCTGTGTATATATTTATCAAAGTGATTTGACAATTCTTATAAAATTAAATCTAAAATGCGTTACCTCCTTTGAAAGTCCGCCTATCAAATTTTAAAATTATATTTTAATCATGATCTCGGCAGCAACCAACATAACATTCGGGCTAGCCCGTGGNAATTCCCGCCTTCCAAAATTCCAAATAAACTTAACCAATCAGATGATCGCCGCAAAAAAATAAAACGCAAAACGCATTTGTGAGTACTTACCTTTAGGATTTTACTTTATTTAGATTTAGGAATATTCTTTTATATCGATTTTTGTAAGTTTTAAGCATATTAGTGTATCTATTTTACGAAACACGTATTCAAGGTTCTTCAATACTTCTAAATCCTTGTAAAAATAAATTAATTTGAAGTTGTTCATTTTTATAGTATTTATGTAAATAGTACACAAGTGTCAGATTCGGTCTGTACAATTTAAACTACGACAATTTGTTGCGGGTTGCCTAAACATGTGACGTCACACTAAAAGAGTCTATTTAAATTTAAATTAGATCATAAATTGCGGCTAGATGTGAAGGCAATCTTGAATGGTGTTTGTATTTCGACAACTGTTGAGAGTCGAGATTGTTGTATGATAAAAGACAGGGTCTCTTGCACTTTTTCATCAATCATATTTGTGGTTTTTTAATAAATCAAGTTTTATTCGAGTAATATTGTGGTTTTATTTTTCTTTACTTTTTTAATTGAAGTTTTTCCACAAATAGTACGTGGCGAATTTCCAGGGGCACTATCAGAAAGTTTTAAAGGAGGGGAGCCCACAGGTAACGGGAGATACTGAAAGAAACTGTCATACGAGCACTAGAATTTCGACTTAAGAGACATCTCAATATAACGGCGAACAATTACTTCAACCGACGTAATTCATTTAACCTGAGGGGCCCCATAAATTACACAATTTTAACATTATCTGTGGCGTGCACAGAAAGCTGACATGGGGAGAAAGTTAAAACTCGACGCCGTTCTTTAATGATTAAGTGCTTCACACAACTTAAGCCCATACAAAATATAATGTACCCTCTGTTTGATAAACAAGACTGTTGCGCCTCTTCTTTTTAATAAAAAAACCTCAAAACAAACTCCCTTGTGTACGCCACTGCAAAATAAACTACAAACAATCAAGGACTATATATAGATCCTGTCTCACGTATTGCGGAGAGATCAGTAATAATGTTCTCACAACAGTAGCCATACTGAGTAAACATGTAACAGTGTCTATTTGAAGAATTTTAAAAAAGTTTAAAAACGTTCCCAGTCGATTTTTATTATTTGGATCCCATATAGCAGTGAATTTACTTTGGAATTTATTCGTCTAATTTCGTAAAACAAGTATTTACAGCATAGGTATATGTTTAAAACTGCATTTAATTTTTTTACACGTCACTTTATTTACCTAAATCGCAGCACAAATTAACTGAAAGTGCCAATTTAATCTTTATATATGGACATGTAGTTAACAATAGTTTATGTTAATGTTAATTATTTATCGAAGGCCATATTACTGTACAAGTTCTATCATACCCATTTATAGCCAAAAAAAAATAAAATAAATACGTCCAGGGTATCCCACTAGATAGGATATTAGAGAAAGTATAGAGCTTCTAGAAAATAATTTTGATGAATAAATCGACCAAGAGAAATCGCTGGAAATAGTTTTCAAGTTCGTAGCTCGGGCTCTATAGGGCGCAATATACATACCAAAACATAGAATTGAATTTTTCTCAGAAATATTTCCTATTCAGGTATATTAAATAGTACAAATATGGATAGTCGGATTCGTTGCCCATAATTTTCGTCATAGATATAGATTTTTCTCAAAAATTTTAAATGCAATGTTATAGTTTTCTTCACATAAATGAATTCAGCACAGAAAATTGATGAATACATTAAATTTGAAATTTCTAACGAAAGTTTCGTTTATTTATTTATTGGCGCTATTTATCCAAGTTTTTAAGTTGTTTCACGTTTTCTTAAAAACGTTAAATAGCAGGATAAAACTTTTTATAGATTAGTTTGAAAAGCATAAAAATAGCTACATTTTGACGGCAAAAAAGGTTCAATATCTTTTTTTGTTATCAAGTTATTCGCAAATTAGTGTTGTATACGTACGAAAGATTAATCTTAACAATTTTTTCAGTCAAAATGTTAATGTTGATACTTGCAACCACTGCGGCGGCATTTCTGTTTTACTATATCGTGGCAAAACCGTTCCATTATTGGAAAGACAGGGGAGTTCAACAAGGAAGTCCGTTATGGATCCTTGGCGATAGTTGGAAGTTCTTTTTGGGGGTGGAAGGTCTTTTAGAGATGGCGCAACGCATTTACTACCAGAATCAAGGCACAAGGTGAGAAAAATTGCGAGAAATAGTTATTTTTCCACGGTCGGGAGTAGAAATTAGTTTCTATGACATCAAAATTAAAACAGAAGTAGTCGATTATTCCCAAAGTATAATGCTCCCAAGGGAGTTTACATTATGGAGAACGTTTTTCATGCAAAAAAAAGATAACATTGAAATTATTTATTGACATTTAAATTAAATGTTACATTTGTACAATTTTCAAAATTAATATTAGAAGGAATATTACTTTCGCTTACATTTACAGTTTTTGTGATTGCGCTAGTAGTGGTACCTACTAAAACCTGATTAGCAATTTTGGTCTTATTTTCAATGGAGTTCTCGACATAACCCTCAGCGACTGTCGTTGATTTCCAACCAGCATGACGCTTTATTGTCGTGATATCCACACCAGCATCTGCCAGTAATGTCGCTGAAGATCTTCGTAAGCAGTGACCAGTATAACATGCAGCATCAGGTAATTTTAAATACGAAGCTACTACACTCGGAATTTTTCCCATGGTATTCTTGCCAACTGGCTGCGAACTACATTTTCCTGCTTTGTAGTACAAAAAAAGGCGCTTATGCTTGACGTGGGGAGGACGAAGGGACAGGTATTTTCGAAACAATTCAAGCATATTTCCCACATCGGTAACCACAAAGGTTCGTGGAATCTTTGTCTTAGTGTTTGGAATTTTTACAATCAAGGAAGAGCCTACATCCTCAATATCATCTACAGTTAAATTGACTAGTTCATCAGTTCGACAAGCTC